GCGGGCCACCCCGGTGTGTGAAACAGCATCTCTGCCCCCCTTGCCCCATGTTGCCCTTTTTCTCCTGGTAAACACAGACCTCTGCGAAACCCCTGCCTGCATGGCGAAACATGCGCTTTTCAGCCTTACTCGGTGAAAAAGCCATGCGAGTTCATCGTGCCTTGACAGAAGTGCAGGCTCCACAAAGGAGTTATTAGCACCAGGCTGTGTGGGTTTGAATTTCTCTGCGTTTCCCATACTTTTCCCCTATTGATAACATTTCTTGTCGGGACAATAGAAGTGTGCCTTGCAACTACTCACGACATTAGTGACGGTGCTTGAGCCTGAATGATTTAAAGGGAAAGAATCCAACTCCCAAAAGACCATCTGGCTATCAGTTATAATACAGCAATAAAGGTCAGGGCTGCTTCTCAGGAGTTAGGAAAAAGATGTTTTTTGACACTGAAGAGCTTCTTCAACCAGCTTGGTACGTGCCTACCTGTCAGCTCCTAGCTTCAAGGCCTGCCACCATTGCTCCCTTGCTAAGGCATAACACAGGACACCAACTTGAGGAGGAAGGCCAGCCAAAGAATAGAGGAAAAAGGGCAACACCTTATTATAGCTGGCAAAAGCTAGGGCATGATCTCGGAGCTCTATCTTATTTTGTATCATAATCCTTTGACTGCTTCAAAGTGTTCATGAGATGTCTTGTCTCCTGGCTTTCCCACAACACAGGGAATAAAGGGCTCCAAGGACAACATCTGCCCTTCACAAAGAGCTAAGCCCATTCAGGCCCATACAATGAACACCACGAAGCTGGCTATTTCAATGACACCTCCCTCCTTCCTGTCAACTGCCCATTAAACTCAGGCTTGACTTCAGGATTTCCAAGTAAGAAATTGTCTTTGGCTTTCTTGCCTCCTTGCACACTTGCCTCCACCTTTCCATGTCCAGATTCTCAGCCACGTTGCCATGCACAAGCAGTGCACTGGGAGAAGAGGAGCACACCGCTGCCTCGGGCACTACAGGTTAGACCCTCAGATGGCAGGATGCAGTACAGCTTTTCTGAGGTAGGTTCTGGGTTATTTTCGGTGCTGCCTCAAGGACTGTTATCCAGGCAGAGATTTTTCTCCTAAGACAAAATCAGAACTGACCTGAAGTATCCACACAGCTTCATTCTTTTTCTTGCCTTTACCTCAAAAGAAATAACGTTTGTTTAACTTTTATTGAAATTTTCATGCAAATGTAAGCAAGCAGCACTATCCCCATTTTCCAGATGAGAAAACAGAGTGGGGATGACATGCTAAAAGTTGCACAGGGAGGCAATTACATGGTCTCTGAGATCTCATGTTCGGCAAACTGCAGCAGGTCCAGTCTGCAGCGGGGCAGTGTGATGCTCCTGGGTCAGATGAAAATAGGACGCACCAGAAATCGCAGGCAAGAAGCAGAACTGACCTCCTTGCTGAGGTCTGAAGATGAGCCTCAGCTACTAAATCCCATTCATGACCCTCCTCTGACTTCCCGAGGCCTAGGGCTTCTGCGTTGAATCTGATGCTATTCTTTAGCCCATCTTAACCATCATTCTTGTAAATGTCTGTATGAAGGACGGAGAGTAGAAAAGGAAAAAGAAAGAGCTACAGGGGTGACTGGGCATGGGCCCAGTTCTGCTGGGAGGTGTGTGGCTGTCCTTAATGAAGGCAATGGGAACACTGGTGCAATGGGCTCACAGACCCTGGTGTGTTAAGAAGAGAGAAAGAGAGGTTACCATTTCCCTCTGCTTCCTATTCCCGTTTTATTCACCCTGCCATCCAACATCACATCATCCTGGCTGTCGATTGTCCACAACATTTAGAAATGTCATGCAAACCAAGCTGTTGTTTCACACTGGTAACACTTTGGCTCACCTATTAAAAGTGTAATGACACTTTTGAGTGTATGGACAAGCCCGAATACACCCACACTGGCAAACAGCACCTGGGAGGCTGGCTGTAAAGTGCCCTCTCTAGAAAGGGTAGAGCGATGTCCTCAGTGCTGTTGATTTCAACCCTAACAGTGCTCCCCTTCTTCTTTTCCCGCCTTCCCCCAAAAGCGTGCCTCCTCCACGCCACCAATGTGACTGGCACATGGCAGGGACTCAGGAATGCGATTGATCCCAGACAACCAGCTGGAGGGTCAGGGTTTTCCCAGATCCCTGGGCAGCCCTGAAGAGCCACGCTGCACACTCCACCAGTCAGCGTGGGCAGAAGGTTATTCTCTCCAGGGCATTTGCAATCAATGTACCATGCACTAATAGATGCTTTCCCTATTGTTCATCTGTGTGCCTGGATTGGCTGAATGGCTGTGGTCAATGTACCATGCACTAATAGATGCTTCCCCTATTGTTCAGCTGTGTGCCTGGATTGGCTGAATGGCTGTGGGAAACACCAGCAATCCCGAGACTCACATATCTGCTTAAGCTCCCCGATGTATAAATAGAGGCAGTGGGTAACTGCCAAAGCATAGTCCTAACGCTCAGCACAACAGTCCGACGTGGGGGTCTGTGCCCAGGACTGAGAGCACTAAGAATGGCTCCCAGTAACACTCTTATGATCCATATGGAGGAGAAACTGCTGCCAAAAGAAAAGAATAAAGTAAGTAGAGCCCTTGTCAGGATTGGAAAGGCTGGCCTGTGCTCTATGCAATGGGCTGTCTCTATCAAATAAACACTATGTGGGAAAAGAAGAGATAAGGAGGGAGAAAGTGGGCTGGGGGAAGGCAAATAGGTTAAAGAGAGGTAAAGGAGGCTGCAGAGATTTTTAAAAATGAAATTGAGTGGGGAACAGGTAGGCAGCGTCGCAAAGCTCTCCTACCAAAAGGAAGCACCTTTGAACATGTGTGTATCAGGGCATCGGAAGGGGAAATTAGGTCAAGTTTCAGAAAATCCTTAACAATCTGCTCCATCTCTCTTACAGCTGAGGAAGCCGGTGGTGGAGAAAATGCGCCGTGACCGGATTAACAGCAGCATCGAGCAGCTGAAACTGCTCCTGGAGAAGGAGTTTCAGAGACACCAGCCCAACTCCAAGCTGGAGAAAGCCGACATCCTGGAAGTGGCTGTCAGCTACCTGAAGCAGCAGAGCCAGCTGCAGGACCAAAGTGAGTGCAGAGCATATATTGCACACCACCTACAGTCTACTCCGACAGACCTGTGCCCTCCCATATAGCCCTGGCCCCTGAAGCATGCAGGGGCTGTAACACACCAAGTCTAGTTACATGAGCAAGGCTCTTGAAAGAAAATTAATACATGAATCACCACTGTCCCTCTTTTTGGTCACGATCTTGACCCACTGCATTTGCTTCTTTCTTTCTTTTCTAGCATTCATCCATAAGAATCTAGAGCAGGACTTTAACAGTGGATACCTGCGGTGCCTCAAGGAAGCGATGCATTTTCTGTCCTACTATGAACCCAAGGAGGAAACTCAGGTGCAGCTAATCAAGCATTTCTGCAAAGCTCAGATGAGCGCAGATGCCACGTACGCTCCTGCTCTGCGTAGTTCACCTCTGTCACCCTGTCTGTTTGCCAGAAAGCAACCTGCCCAGAAGACTGTGGCTACTGCTCCTACCATCTGGAGACCCTGGTAGACCTGCCGAACTCTGCATTATTCCTATGTTTTGCTACCAAAACTAGAGGGACCTGCGATTTAATGGTTCCTCTTTAAAGTAGGAAACATTGCTTTCCAAAGGTGGGGGGTGGGGGCAGTTATTGTTTTTCTGTCACAAGAAATGAGGGTCGCTGGGTAGTTTCCCTTCATAGTGAAGGGCCGTATTTGTATCTTGCAGCGGATTTGCTGCTTTTATTGGTGGCTCCTAGCCAAAGAGAGGACCAAGTTCTGCGGTGATTTAGAGAGCCAAAAGCCCTTCAGTTTCCATCACACTTTTGCTTGGCAAGGCTGTTGAATCTGTGGCTGTCAGTGGAAATCTTTCTGCTAACTCCCTGGGTCACTGGTTCAAGTGCTCCATTATCTCTAGATAATGTATCGACCTTCCTAAAGAAGGAGCACTTTGAGGAATGTATTTTGTATCATAAAGAGAGTATTGAGCCTTTACCTTTCGAGTGAAAGATGTTATTAAGAAATGCTGATTCTTCTGAAGTTCCTATGCTATTTTTAGTATACCTTCTTACAGAAAGTTATGATGATAACAGATATCTCTAGGGAAAATTCTTTTAATGTCAGTATGTGCTACTCTCAGTTGAGGGATAATTGATGCCTTTTGTAAAGGAAGTACCTGTGATATACCTTAAGGAAAAGAGGGAGGAAGGGAGGCAAGAAGTACTTTATAATCATTCACTGAACATGCTGAAGAGCTTAAAAAGCTTTTATAAAGTTGTGATGTATTCATCCTGTGTGATGTTCAACTTTGGTGTCTTCACTGTACAATACAATAAAAATGGTTTTAGTCATTAATCCTTTGGTTTGAAATGATTAAAATGGCTAATACTCTGGGACTAAGTGTTGTATGTAGTCTCCTTCTGCAGTGGGGAAATTATCAGCAGATGTCTTATTTCTGAGCCCTTCATTCCAGTATGTAATTTATATTTGTGAAATTCATTTGGCAGAACAGGATTTCAGATCCTGCAAAGAAGCAACCTCTGGAAAAGTTATCAAAAATTAAAATGGAGGTGAAATTGAAGTGATATACCGAGAGGTGCAGACCCAGATACTTAATAGGAACGTATTCAGACTTCAACAAATCACTAATTTCACAGCCAGTTTATTTCCCCCCATTCCCCATTATTTTGCCCACCAACCTGAGCTCAGCCTTAAGGTTTCTGTCCGTTCAGGAGGTAGCAACGTGCAAAACTCCTAATAACTTCCAAAGAGTGGCACCTGACTCTGCTTGGGGATCTTACCCTCCTCTTTGAAACTACCCACAATGGGCTGAACTAGTTTTAGTTGTCTTTTAATTTTAGCACCTTCTGTTACCTAAACACGAATTCTGTTACGCAGTAACAGAATTGCTTTCTTTACTGAAGTGAAATATGCCCGTATATGGCTAAAAGTATACATAATTTGCTGGCAAACAGAGATTGGAAAAGCTTTTCCTCTCCTAAATGATTTGCCCATACTCTCCTTTTCTTCAAACACTTTATTCTCTTTCTCTGACATCCACCTACGGCTCCAAAACATGCCGTGAATAGGGCCTGTGCCTCGGAGGTAAGAAACTGCCACGCTCCACCAGGCTTGCGAGGGTTTTTTTTTCTATCCAGCCTGTTGTAGAGATGGCCTCTCTGCCAAGTATCTTTTAAATGATCCTCCCTTGATTTTTTCACCCCGCCTCAATTCAGAAAACAAATCTAGCATGTAGTCTTACATGGAGATTTACAACAGCCTGCCTACCTGGCTTGCACCAGCTGAGTGACCCAAACCAAGCAGCCGGGCTTCCCGTGAGTTGCAGAGAGGGGCACGGTAGCATCCATGCGCAGTCTCAGCTCGAGCCCTGGTAGACTTTTCTGCAATTCTCTATGTACAAGCCATGTGATTGCTGTCTCCTGAGGATTAAGTCAGCTACGTTTTGGTGATGTGAGAATGATTAGCACCTATTGTAAAGGATGTGCTTGTCCTTCTCCCACACAGCTATACAGAGGGAATGGATGCCGTGAACAAGCAAAAAGGGATTCAAAAGGTATTTGGGGAAGCAGGAAGAAAAGCACGAGAAGAGGATCCTGAAGCCGCCCTTGTGCACCTTAAATACCAACAGTCCCTCCAAAACACAGCACTTTACCCAATAACACTCAGGCACTTTTCCTTAGAAGAGTTCCCATTCATTGCCCAGTGCGGACTGCTCACCTTTTATTTTCCTTTCTCTTCAAAGTCAAATGAATCCGCGCAAATAATCAGTTCACAGAACTACTATCTAACCACAGTAACACATTGATTTGGATATATGACAGGGAACTCTCTCATTCTTCCAGAGATACAACAACAGCATGAAACACCATTGGTCAACAGTTTCAATTCTCCTCAGATTCCCTGGGAGAGATGCCCTTGAAAAGCTTCGTTTCTAGCATATGCTTTTTTCCTTAAACAAAAGGAAACCTAGTATATCTGATCTTGTCAAATGGCTGCTTAGCTAAGCACTAAGCAAACTCAGATCTACTAAGCTCACAAAATCAAACTGCATTCAAACGTTGCTAGCTGTACCTGGCCGGTCCTCACGATTTGTGGTTAAACCCTATGTTATACATATGGGAAGGACCAAAAAGCCAGCTAGCCAGGTCAAGAACATATTGCTCTACCTCATTACGGTTGCATGGATCATGTTGGTTATTATTTCACCCTGAAAGCACAAGCTGGTTGAGTGCTCTTCATCCGTCTGCCAATGTAATACAAGGTGGGGTTTTGGTACGGTTCTGCAGTGCATCAAGGGCCGATACCAATGCTGCAGATAGATTTGTTCTTCCTAATAAACTGTTAAATAATTCAGGAGAGATATTTTTAGATTTTGTGGTTGCTTAGCAATCTTGAAAAAGTCACTTCACCTTGCTGTGCTCAACTTGTCTTTGTCAATTAGTACAAGCTTCTGAATCCCAGCAAAATTCAAGCTGTTCATCCATGCCTGTGCATTTTTAAATCAAGCCTAATTAAGGCGGTTCGCAGATAGGAAGTTTGGGGGAGTTCAGACTCAGTCAAAATGCAATGTGCCCCAAAGCACACCACAACCTGACTACACACCACAGGGACGGGGAATAAAGTCACATGTGGCACGGAGAAGTCTGTTGCTATTCTGTGGATGGGTATCTTCTGCAGCCAACGTGTTACCACCGAAGTAAACTCTGTTGTGAATGTCACAGTTGGCAGCATCACCGCAGTTTGTTTCAAACTGACAGCATAAATGGAAAAGAGAAAAGGAAATCAAAGAAGAGCTGCACAAACTGAAGGCTGTTGGCTTTGAAGCCAGTGCCTCCAGTTCTAGGCTAACACAAGAACAGGCCATAGAAGTGACAACTGTGCAAAACTCATGTGAGATGATAGTCAGACTTCTAAGCCCAGAACTCCTGCCACCCATATTGGCATAAATCCGGAGAGACACGGCTACTGTCATTCAAACCACAAGGTCTGATTCTCATTTACACTGAGGCCATATTACATCTCTCTGGCTATAGTCAGGGAGTCGATCACGCTTAGCTGTTAGCGTACATGAGATTCAGACCTACTGTTTGCAGAGTAGGGTAAGGGAGAGAAACAGTAAGCACCTCTTTTCTGGGCAGGGGGAAGAAACCAAACCCCACCCCACCAGAAAGCCTCTGTTTGCTCCAGGGAGTCAGATCCACGGCTGGTACAAGCATACTGCTGCTGTTTTTCGCCAACCAAAAACTTGCCCCCTCTGGGCTTTAGTTTACCAATAACTTGAGCGCTAAAAGCCAGACCTCTGGTTTTACCCGTCTTAGCACAGCAAAGGTTATGTTTACAATTTATTAATTATCATCACTTATAATAATTGAAGGCAAAGCTTCTTATTGCTCCCCTGTCCCCTGGGGTGACTCTCCCCTGCTCCAACACATTCCCACCCTTAGGGAAGATGTTGTTTATTATGCTGATCCCACAGCCCAGGAATACTCTCCTGACAAAGCCCCTATTAACCTTAGAGTGTGGGCCTGAGTTTCTCAGAGTTTCCCACACTTTCTTCCCTATTTATGACATTCAAAGGGACCACAAAGGAAGCGTGCCTCACAACAGCCCACATTAGTGACGCTTTTTGGCTCTGCATTGTGATGACCAGCAATTCCTGTCCCGATAGACCATCTGGAGAGCTATTTTCCCAAGGAGCACATTGATCGATCAGTATTATGCGAGAGCCCTTTTAAAACTTGGGAACGTTATGCTCTTTGACACTAAATAGGTGTCTCGAGAGGGGTTGTCAGAAAGATTTTAAACCATTTAAGGAAGGCACAGAAAAAATAAAAATCGTAATTATTTCTTTAAACACACCATCAATAGCATCTGTGAGACAGGTTGACATGAATGTAGGAAATGGTTTAAAATAAAAATGCTCTAAAAGCGACATAGAAAGGAATGCTTTAAGCCATCAGGTTGTGTGCTATAAGTACAGCCACACACATACAGGAGCAGTGCTTTTTAAATCTGCATAACATAGACAACGAAATTCTGGTTTTCTGTACTCTTTTTTTTGATAGTCTACCTTCCTCCAGACCTGTTGCTACATTGCAACACACTAGGTTCCCCTCCACAGAAAGCACAGTATCAGATGGGCTAAGCAAGCTGCCCATTGGTATTACAAGTAGTAGCAGCTTTTGTGAAAACAGTGTGTGTAATAAATCTGCACCTGGGCTGAAATCACCACCTACAAACCAGAAGCAGAGAGCTCCATGGCCCCGTACCAATTTCCTAGGCTAGCGGTCCTCCAGCTGTTTTGATTTATGGACTATAATGAACACAGGGCTACTGATGACAGTCTTGGGGCTGTTTGGTTACCTTTCCTGGATCCTCTGAGGTTGTTCCTCAACTCAAAGCAATCTACAGCACACAGATCGCACACCATAGCTCGGGGTCAAATGGTGAGCATCTACAGTTGGAGAAGATTAACATGGTGGTTCTTGCCTTAGGAAAAGCTAGGACTACTGCCTGACATGCAAGGTCTGTAAGTACAGATATGGACAGATTGTTTCCAGATTTCTGTTTCCCCTTACACTTTCAATATCTATACTAAGTGAGAGTGGAGACACCTCTCTGTTTTCATGTGTGATTTTGAAGATTGCATCTTCATGATGCAACTCATGACTGTGATTTACAGAGAAACAAGGCCACTGAGAAAGCAAGCCTCTTTGTCCACAGCATAGCTGTCACCTCTCAAGAGCAGGTCCAGATTTCACACCATCCTCCAAAGAAGTGAATTATTGTGTCAGATTTTTTAGTCAATTTTAGGGATTTGTTTCTTTTAATCCTTCATACCAAAACCAGGGAAACCCCTGGTTCTGAGCCTCAGACAATCCATCTTTCATTCTGGCTCTGCAGCAACAGTCAAAGGCACAAACTCCTCTCATGGATATGAAGGACAAGGATTTGGATCACAAATGAGTTTTAGTGGGACAGACTATTGCGCTAACAGGTGAATTTTTAAAAAAAAGCCCAAACTGAGCAAACTAGTTACACCCTTTTAACAAAGAGCAACTGGACTGCCTACAGCACAGGAATTTTCTTCCTTACTGAAATCCCTGCAGAAAATGCATACTGCACCCAGTCCCGTAAGGAATATGCTCTAGGGATAGCCTTAATCGACACAATTTATTATTCTGAAGCATCAGTTGGGAACTATCATTGCCATTAAGTTTTCAGGCCTTAGTAATCAAACCAAATGGGGGGGGGGCGGCGGAATATTTGTTTCTCTCTTATCCAACAGTATACAGAGGGTAGGTGAAGCAGGCAAGGGGGGACCTGAAGAT